AAATTTCTTTAACAAGGAAATGTTAAATTTAACAAAACTTTTTCCGTTGCTCAAAAAATATATCATATTGTAATTTTTCCTGCCCATGCTGTGATGAATATCATATATATATACATATTATATATATATGGCCATACACATTTTTATTTACATAAGAACACAACAGTAAATTTACTATGTCAAAGCACTAAAAAGGAATACAATTTTATATTATTTTGAAAAAATGATTCCTCTAATACTTAACTATGTCCAAATTTCTGTTGTCACAAATTTGCAAATTAAATGTGGTGAGCTCCTCTCTCTCTCTCTCTCTCTCTCTCTCCTCCATTCTCTCTCTAACTTCCCTGTTTTCCTGAAGAGTCAATTAGGATTAGAAACAATTATTAAAGAGTAGAAGAACCATACCCCCCCCCCCCCTAGAGTAGGTTATTCCATTTCTTCTGAAAACTTTTCCACTTATAGGAACATTGTGCTTACAGGCAAAAGTCTAGTTTTGGAGAAAACATGATTTATTTTTTATACACAGGCCTGCATTTCTGTTCATCAATACATGTCCTTACCCGTGGAGCCTTTTCCGCCATGGTGCATTCACTCTGCTCTGGGGTCTCTTTGAAAAGCGAGCCTCAAGTATGCCCCACAAGAGTCCCTGAAGTGTCTGGGAACTAACCCTTTGCTTGCCAGAGGTTGAAAAATGGAACGCTTGTGGCTGCACAACTCGCTGTGCAATTCATTACGGACAAAGAAATGGTCTGGGGTTAGGCAGGCAGCAACTAATGTCCTCATTTTCCAGAAAACATTCAAGATCGATATGTTAGGACATGCAACATTTATGGACGCCTGTGTTTTCTTTCCCTCTAGGGGAGGGAGAAAACACTGGATGACTCCTTTCTGCTGGTGGCTACAACACTCAAATGATTGACGCTTTTTAACACACGGCCTTTGCCCCTGCTTTCCGTCTGCTAGTAGCAACACTAATGGCCTGATCTTTGTTAACTTCTTCATACTAGTATTTCAATGAATTTTGATTTGGCATGTAGTATCAAGGCATCATGGATCCAGGTAACCAAGTCTGGGATTAACATTTAATCTAGGTGAACAGAGATAGTTCTGATGCAATAATAGGCCTTAATGATCTATGATATATTCATTAAAAAATAGACTTTATGATAAAAAGGAAGCCCAGGAGAGAAAGGCACGATCTAAAAGGAAATATCTACAATATCCTTCCGACTCCATGATCTGTCAGGAATAGAACCCAATATCAACATGAAATCTATTTAATGAGCAAATTATTGTACAGTTGACTCAAAAAATGAGAAATGTTTGAAAAAATGAACAGAAACAAAAAGACAGCATAAGAAGTGTGTGGTCAATGTTGTATGTTCCCTGTAATGTCCCTTAACGATGATGTTTTTAGAATTGAAATTCAGATCAATGTCAAAGTTTTAGGTTAAAGTAGATTTTTTTTTTTTCTTATAGAATTACACAATAGAAGTTTGGAAATAAGAGATTACCTCAGGGAAATAATTAGCATCACCTCTCCTTTAAGAGTAATGTCTTGTCAGACGTGACAGAAATTGAAATGGCAATGGCACTATATTGCCCAAACACATACACATTTCCCAAGATATCGCTCAATAAGAAGTAGAGCAATGTGAATATGGCGACTAATTCTTCTGTACTTGGCTTAGAGTAAGATTAAAAGCAAGGCTTAGTATCATAAGAAGATGTTTGATTTAATATTAAATTTTCAATAGCTTTTTTGGGGCCTGGAGGATCTCAGATCATTATTGATCACTGAGGTTCTCCATTCACATGACTACTAAGCAATGGCCTTGAAACCATCAATGTGCAATTCTAAAGCCACAAACTTTTGAATTCAAGGATGCTATCTGGATAATGCAGACACTGAATTGATTTTCACATTTTTTGAATTCTTTTAGTGTGTCTGTGGTCAGACTAATTACAGTGGTTTTAGTAGGTACATTCACAAGCAGGACAACATTAGAGTATTGAAAAATTTACAGTATTTTTCAATACTTAGAGTATCGAAAAAGATTAGATTTATCACTTTAAAAAAATGACACACATTCTTTGGTCAGGTCAATACGTGATATCTACTCTCTGTCTTGAAGATGGAAAAATATTGGATAATATGATTTCTGAAAGCTTTCAACTATTCCCCCCAAAATAAGCAATGAGACAATAAAGGCAAACATCATATACCAAACTTTATGTATACTTGTCATGGCTTAGTAATTATGCCCAATGGGGCATATTACTACTTTTAGCTTTCAAAATATCCGTACTTGTTTACATTCCTCTTATTTACCATACAATTAAGTATCAAAGATTTAATGTTTCAGTTAGCATTTATTGAGCTCATTTAAGCTTCCAAAGGTGATGTTTAAATAATCAAATTCAAGTACTGATGAAGTCAATATTACATTAGTTAGCTCGTATCATGTTGAGTGCTCTCAGAAGCATAAAGTTATCTCTCTTAAGAGTTAACTGGCATAATTATTTTGCCTTTCTTACTCCCAGATAAGAATGAGAAACTTATAACCAAGTTCTTGCTATTCACAATGTTTCCATTGGGTGTAGCTATGATATTAGATAGGTTAATATCATAGCCTGCATATTCTGGAAGGATGCCCAGACATTTGGGGATTTGTAGTGACTTTCTTTGTCTTCAGCATTAAATTGTGTCAGTCAGTGGTATGTTCTATGGGGAAAACCAAATAAAATACTTTGAAATCAATCAGGGCAAGAAAGATTTCAATATGTCTTTTTACAAAAAAGGAAGAAATCTGACAAATTGAGACCTGCGCTAAATCTTGAATCAACAATAATTTCTACATAGTATCCTCATTTTAAAATTTTTTATATAACAACATATTTACAACTAGTCTGAATGTCTTCTATATATACACACATATATATATATAGACAGAGGCATCTGTTGGAGAAAGTGGGATAAATAAGAGGAAAATCCACTAACAATGAAACTCCTTCATTCAATGACTAGTCTGAATAAAGTGTCTTAAAATGTCTGTTTATGCTAACCAAAAAAAAAAAAAAAAAAGTATTTCTCCTAAAATGTGAGGGCAGCTTACATGCTGAGATGAAAACTGCTAAGTCTTTTTTTAACAACACCATATGTCTCCAATTGGATCATAATGCAGTTGGTTCTCAAGGGAACATTCACATGGAAGCTAACAAAATCGGGACACAGTCTTCACTCTATGTTGATTCACTGATTAACTAGTGATCTGCTACTTTGGGTTTTCCAGATCATGCAAGTGTTAGTCTGAAGGGTCTTTTCTGGGTCCCCAACATCTTCCCCAAACCAAGCGAGTCACAAAAGGACCCTTAGCTTTTCACAGGTTTTTTAAAAATTTTTTTCCTAGTTTTGTTTTGTTTTTAGAGACAAGGTCTCTCTATGTTGCCCAGCTGGAGTGCAGTGACTATTCACAGGCAGATCATTGCTTTCTACACCCTCAAATTTCTGGGCTCCCAGCAATCCTCCTGTCTCAGCCGTCTGAGTAGCTGGGACTACAGGGATGTACCACTATGCCCAGCTCACACTGTCTCTTCTATAGAACCTCAATATATTTTAAGGAACTACAAAGTCCAGCCCCTGAACTGTCTAGTGGATTTTAAATAGTAGATGCATTATATAGTAAACACTATTGAAATCCAGCTTAAAAGGACCAAAAGTAAATACTGTAAGACTGAAGAAGTCACCTTTTTTCCCCCCTGAGAATAACCATAAACAAATGAGCAACAAATAAACTAACATTCATTAGTCAGATATTTATTCATTGTCATTTTTCTTAGGTTAGAATTTCACTCAATCTTTAAGTTTTTAAATTAATTAGTAAGATATATTTAAAAATTTAGGCCAGGTGTGGTGGTTTATACCTGTAATGCTAGCACTTTGGGAGGCCAAGGTAGGAGGATAACTTAAGGCCAGGAGTTTAAGACCAGTCTGGCCAAGAGCAAAATCCTGTGTTAATAAAAAATAGAAAAATTAGCCAGGTGTGGTGGTGTGTACCTGTAGTCCTAGCTACTTAGGAGGCTGAGGTAGGAGGATTGCTTGAGCCCAGGAGTTTGAGGCTGCAGGGAGTTATGATGACACCACTGCACTTTAACCAGGACTATAGAGTGAGACCCTGTCTCAAAAATAAATAAATAAATAATAAATAAAATAAAATAAAATAAAATGAATTTACATACCTAATATTAAATACCTTCCCCATATACTACTGTCAGATTAATATCAAGGTAAGGCATTTGTAGTTTTGATGCACATGATTCTCTTTTGTTGAATGTAATCTTTTTATGTTGAATGCAATTCTTAATAGTATAAAGTTATATCACTTTATGATGTGTGTAAAATTTTAACAATTTTGCCTTGGGAAACATGAAATGCCCTGGGATAGTCTAGCCTGGAGCCTCCAAAACTCTTTCTGATGGATGGACACTATCTTTTAAAATTTCCAATATGTCAGTAACTGGTATTTTTGTAAAATATAAAATTATGCCCTCAGATTTCATGACAGTTGAAATCGCTATAAAATTTTCTAAATGCTTACTCTCACTTTCTATATTTTTCTTGTCACAGACTGGTAAGAAACCTTCAGGGCCTGGCATCAACCTGTGACTATCACTGCATAGATATTTTCTAATTTAGAAATCAGGGTTTCAATATTAATGATAAGAGTCATTAACTTCTTTCACTTCAAGTGCATCATTCTTTGCTATGGTTTTCTTCTAATCCACTTTCGGGAATTAACAGCAGGGATTTAAGAAAAGACCAAAGAAGAATCACCAAAAAGTTTTTGAAAAAGATGAGTTGTTACATAATATTTAAAAATTTTTTCACAAAAGCAAACTTTTCCTTCGCAGTGACCAACCAAGGGCTTTACCATGTTCTCATTCTAATAAGAGCAATAATTGTAGGCACTATTTAGTGGTTTATTAATGACATTTCTTACCTGGGATGCCTGGTGGTGTTTTCAGGTATTTTCCATTAAAATGTTGGATTACAACTTCACATTTTTCAGTAGACTCCATTCTGGAAAAAGAAAGTAAACAGGGGATTATACACTATTGTCAAGATGTATGTATCCAAGAAAAAGAACTAAAAAAGAAAAGGAGAACAAGAAAGGCATGTGGAAAGCTTAATTTGAGAAATTTACCCCAACTGTCAACTGTTGTAACAACCGCAATGGACAGATAGATAGGAGAACCTCACAAACCCATCATTGCTGAGAAAGCATCTTTCACTATATGGAAAGTTGCCTCACGGATGACTCTGTACTGAGCCCTCATCCAGAGGTAACCCTAAGGCATTATTTTACTCAATTAACACAATGATATTTAACAATAGAAAGTGCTCCATAGAGGCCAGGTGCAGTGTGGTGGCTCACACCTGTAATCCTAGTACTCTGGGAGGCCGAGGTGGAAGGATCACTTGAGGCCAGGAGTCCGAGACCAGAATGGGCAACAGGGAGATCCCCCCCCCCCCCCGCCCCGCCCCACCATCTCCTAAAAAAAAAAAAAAAATTAAAAGAAAGTGCTTGATAAATGTCTGTTGAATGACTGAATTAGCAAACTGATAGGTAGGTCTGGTTATTGCCCTTCACATCAATGAAGGCACTGAGGCTTAGAGAGATAAACTACCTTCCATTAAGTGGTAGAGTTGGATTCGAACTGATGCCTATCCAGCACTAACACCTGTACTATAACTACTAAGCTACACTCCACAAAGCAAGTTGAAGAGATGCATTCTATTTGAACAGCTTGCAGCCTAAAGGAGAGATTAGTACAGTGCTATAGTCATCACCATCATGACATTTTATTGAAAGCCCATTGAAAGAAAAAACCCAGAGAGATTATGGAATCCTACATATTGAAGGAAGATATAAATACCAAACCCTAGGTCTTTATTTGAAACTTTGAACATCTCTTACTTTCTTCATACTAGGTATCAATATTCCTAAATTGGGATGCTTGTGCCAATTTTGGCATCTCACAAACAATCTAAAGAATGAAGATTTGAGCCATACAATCATAATATCAATTCTGGCAGTATTAGTACTTGCAGCATTTTCTGAATAATGAATTACATCTGGCCTTTACTATTTTATAACACTGGGTGAGGAAGATAAAAATTAAAGGGTTGCTTCTGATGAAAAGAAATTAAGTCCTACCAAGAGTATAGTAGAGGCAAAAATGAATTCAAGAAACACCACTACAGAAAGAATGTGTATAAATGTGTGAAATTTGTCCAAAAGGCAAAGTATAATTTTGGATTTCTACCATGTTCTTAAAATGAGTTTTCTTGGAATGGAGCCCATCAATTCAAGTTATAAAACTTTCCTACATCTAACATTTATGTGTGTGTTTCAGGACCATATTACATGCACAGGAAACAAGATAAGGAAAAAGCATGTAAGGATGTCAAATATCATAATATATTTATAAGCTACTAGAACTAAATGTGAGTAGATCCTAAGGCCAGGGAAGTCTAAGAAGGCACAGAAGGGAAAGGCTTGAGAGTAATTAGGTGGGGCTAAGCTGGGCAGGAGGGAGTACCTGGGTCCTCTCTACAGTGGGTAGAAGGGAACAGACCATGAGTCTCAGGAAAGGCTTACCCAGGAAACTCTTAGAAATAAACTGGGTAATGCAATAGTAGGGCATCCGTATTGTGGTGAATAAGTTTGAAGATGGTATCAACAACTGGCTCCACTGAGGAGCTGTAGTTATTATCTGACAAATATTCAGTTTGTTTCATACATGTATTCCATGAAGCAAGGGCATGAATCTTTCGCCATATTGATATGCCTGCTTAGTGGTAGAGATTTTCCCATGGATGAGCCCACCATGTATGTGCTCCACCCTTAGAATATCTCTGCACTTGGTTTAAAGTTCTGCTGTCAGGTGTCTTGAACTTCTTAATAATTTTTTAACAAAAAGATCTCTGTGTTATCTTTCACCAGGCCCATAATTCACATAGCTGATCCTGCTATGACAAGAAAGTACTAGAAAGTAATTTTAACATTTAGTATTATTTCATCGGATGACCCAAATTTGAGAGGATAAATACATTTGAGTCTAATTGAAAAAAAAACTTTGAGTTTCATAACATGTATTTTAATAAGTAAAAAATTAAACAAAAGCATTTTGTTTGCTACTTAATCACAAGTTCTCCCAAACAAGAAGACGTTGGATAAGAAAAGCAGGATGAATTTTCCCCATTCAAATATTTGGAACAGTTAAGAACAATTTTCCTAACTTTCAAGTTTTCTTTCCATGGAACCTTTTATCATAAGTCTTCAATTGTTATTTTTTTTATTTTTTTAAGTAGGAAACTTTCATTTCTAGAAAAAAGAATTCTAACTCTGCTTCTCTCTTCCCATAGGATCTACTATTGTCTCTTAGGGAAAATAACCTTCCCTCCTAACAGAGACACGAATGGGAGAGGAAATGTAAGCCCTTAATTACTACAGATGTTACTTTATGGAATTTTATTCCAGGAGAGCTACGGAATGAAAAGTTATGCCCAGAGCCCCCTCCCTGTTCAATCTCTCTCTGGGTACTCATCTAGATAAAAGCAGTTAAGAGTCTAAGAGCTTGCGCAAGAGTCCTACAAATCAAATCTTTTCTCTTGTCTTAAAATGACATGGGATTCTAAAGGAAGAGTGAAACTAGATTAGGTTGTGCATGTGTGTGTGCGTGTGCTTGTTGATCTACATAATGTATTTTAGGGAATACAGAGAGCTGAAGAAGGAGAATCAGGTGGCTAAACCACTCCACCCACTTAAAATATTTTGTCCTGTTTGAAGCTTCAAGTTTTCCATCTGGATTTTAGGTTATGATCATCTGTCTTTCTTAACACTGTTTTACAGCCTATATCAAGCCGGATGGGGCTGTTTCTATGAACACAGAGACAGCAGCGTAGATTGTTCACTTTGGGTTCATTCAGATTTAACTAAGTGAATGTCTGCGTGAGCCTTTAGAGACTCTCCTCTCCGAAAGAATAAATGCAATAAAAAGTCTGTTTCTGTAGCTGCCGGCGCTTAGTGTCAAACCATGTTATGCTGCACCACCCAGCAGTGACAATTTCATTTTAATACACGGGGCACATTTAACAAGGCAAAGCAGTCCAGCAAAGATGGCAATACAGGAGCTGCCAAGGGGAAAGACTCAGTGTTCCTCATGCATTTTATGTGAAAACAGAACTAAAGTGAGGCCCAGAGAGCTCTGGGAGAAGAGACTGCATTTGAGTAGCCATCTTAGTTAGGAAGATGCCACATTTCTTTCTCTCTCTCCTGAAATGCCAGCTCAAGCTATCTGAATCTGCACACGCTTCAGTTGAAACTGACACTAGCATTATCAAGTGAGTCTGAAAAGACAGCATACCAGACACGGCTGCCTTTATATGTTCCTTTCAGACGGGCCACTGAATCACTACAACTGCCTCTATTCTTCTGAGGTGGTACCTGAACCCCCTTTGTGTCTCTCACAACAGTCAAGTGCCAGGCCGACCATCGCCTGACAATACAATTAGGTTCTTACAAGGCTCCCGTCATTGTATAAAGCTTCAGGGTTTCTGTTAGGTCTGATGTTTAAGTACAAATACACATTAAAGGTCCTGTTTGACATTCTTTCTTGTCTCAGTGCCTAGGAACCTGGCTTCAGTCATTGGAACCACACCACAGAATTGTGCCTCTGTTGCTGCTGCTGCGCTGCTGCTTTTAACAACAGCTACTAAGAAGACTAGCTCGCAGCAATACAATCCCACAGGCAAATTACATCAAGATGAGAGACTGATCCAATATCAGTAGAATGTCTGGGTCAGACTAACACACAAGGTAGAGATGTGCTTGCAAAACCATTTGCAGCCTGTCCACCCTACCTCCATGGAACCTCACAGTTGTGATCTTAAACAAGAACATTAGTAACCTGTATTTAAGACAAATCTACCATATCACTATTGTGGTTAATACAGATTCCAGTATTGTGAAATGTTTGGTTTTGCAATCACAGCTCCTGTACAAATTACTGGCAACTTAGAGTATCCAATGTTGTAAACCAGTCACCTCATTTCTGTAAGATTATCCAGAGGGTCAACATAAAAGATTTTTAAAATTACTAAAATATGCACTCCTTCTGACATTCAAAAACAAATTATGTCATTTAGTTCTTAATCCATTTAACTAATGAAGGAATAACATGAATCCTAGAACAAAGATGAATGAATGAGTTGTATTTTTCCCCTATTTGTTTATAACTTGTTCTTCCTGCCAGGCGCCTGACATTCTTAGGATACAGTGTCATAAATGTCAATAGCGAATGGAGTGGCCTCCCTTTCCATCCTCTTTCACAGAAACACACATGTTCAGGATGTCTTGCTCAGCGTTACAATATATCTCTTAGGAAATGGAACTTAGACAATATTTGACTAATGAGAACCCACTCTAGATGTTTAGAATGCAAATTTGGGACTAGAAATGCCTCTACATACCAATTTATCCATTGTAACAAACAAAGACACTAACACTAGAAGACTGTGGTTATTTCCTAAAAAGATAGTTAATGAATAAGCCTGGAATAGAACCTTTTATATGTATTTTTTTAGAACCTTTTCTCTTGACCCTTGATTTAAGTTTATTTGGGAGAGATGCAGTTTCACTGCTGCCTCATGTCATCCCTCCTGATTTCCTCTACTGACCGTCTACCTCAATCTGGTCTGAAGCAGGATGGGACTGCTATCTCCACCCCATTCAGCTGCTATTAACTAGAGCAGTTGTTATCAAAAAATGGGATATGCCCTGAATATGAGATGTGACAAGAAGGCCACTTCACCTTGTGCATTTTTCCAAACCCATACATAATATGAGTCCTGTCATGAGAAAAACATGACACAACCAGATCTGGAGTCATTCTCCAGGATGCCCAATCAGTACTACTCAAGGAAAACAAAGCAAGCTTGAAAAATTGTCAAATATCAGAGCAGGCTGGTGAGCTGAAAAACATAAATGAAATATGATCCTGGATTGGATCCTGGAA